CCATTTGGAGGACTGAGCTTCAGCCGCTCCTGAGCTTCGACATGGGAGAATGAAGCAGGTAATGTCAGTGGAAACCGCCAGTAACGCAATTCAACTGTTATTTCTCTTAAATATGTCTGCTAAATCCCGACATGAAAGCAAAATGTGGGCTCTCCGTTGCGAACACCCGCTGCTGCCCTCGTCGTCCACAGAGGTGGAACTCTCCGCGGACTCTCCGCGAATCACTGTTTGTCGTCTCAACCATTTTGGTGGCATAACAACGCAACAGTGAGGCTGTATTTAAATTACAAATGAGCGAATCATTTCTAAAGAAGAAGCTCCAATGTCGTACTGCAAAGGCGGTCAGTGAGCTGCAGAGTTGGCCTGAATGAGGTGTAATTGTGTTTGGCTTTGATTTTCTGAAGAATTGGGTCCGTTTTCAGGACACCTCCGAGCTCATGTCACAGATGTATCCGTCAGTTGTTGCAATGCTCACATGTGCAACTGAATGCCTGATATGTGGAGTTGAACCGCTGTCACTGTATTTGTAGCATTCAAATGTTCCACCAAAAAGTTGTTTTGCAATGTTTAAAACGTGAACTAAAAGTATTTCTGAAAAACAATCAATACTCTAATATAAATCAACTGTTTGCTATTCAAAAAATCTAAAATATTTGCATTAAGTTAGTCAAATTTGGCCATTTTTGGGCCTAAAAAGTCAGATTAAAGGCAATGGTGGGCTGTTTATTTTTGGCATCATTGGGCAAAAATTCCATAACAGCCTTACAGCATAATGTGATTTAAGTGGTCTGAGAGACAACTACATTTCTATACCTCCTCTTGGCTCTGTTTTCAGGCTTTAGAAAGTCTAGCACATGACAAGAAACCAATGAATTGGCCAATCGAAGGTCAGTAAGAAAGTGTTCATATATGAAGACCTGGGAATGAGATTTTACAATCACTGTCTCCAAAATTGCTTACTGCACCCTTTTAAAATGGAGTAATACTGGATTTATTACATTTCGACAATAAAATTCAAGATAAAAATCGAATATTTCAATGCTATGAATTCAGTGCTATTTATAATGAATGAAACTTCAAGTATTCAGTTGTGATTAGGGCTGTCCTGGTTTTAAAAAATGAACAAGATCGAATCTAACGCAAAATTCTCGCATAACCCATCCAGGATCTGAACGTTTCAAGGGTTAAACTGAAGATTATGAATACAGTGTAAGACCTAGTTTACATCTAGACTGGCATATGAAGGAAAACTGGAATTGGTTCCATGGCTGTTTTGTTTTGTAGTTGTTACAGCATGATCAATAAATTAAACTGAAAAATGCAACTTTATACAAAACCTGTCAAAAATTCAGAATTACTGGAGTTGAGATATTTTAAAAGCCCCTGCTATCTCTAACTAAGTGACTAAATAATAACACAGAAACATCCTGTGGACCCAGACTGCATGCCTGGTGAGCAGCTAAGGCAGTTGCATTTGGAATAGTCAGTAATCAGCCTTGCCTTCATACGCAGCTTTATTGAATCCAAAAGGCTTAAATTACCTCTCAAGTGATTTGGCGCAACTTTTGTTTTTTCAATTTTGTGTTATCAAAAAGAACAACAAACTTGTTTACTGATAAGGCAACATAAACATCTTTCACTGGATAAACAACCCATGTCGTGTTCACACTGTTTTTGTTTTGAAGCGACTCCCCTTACAGAATATACCTGTAAAGTTTGGCGCAGTTGTTTGAATTTGAAATAAAAGGGGCATTCTTGTGCTCACAGTGAGGTATTCAGTTTTATTTGATTTGTTATGGCATGTCTTTACTTCCGTATATTTACAGTCCAACATTTAATCCATGCCTGTAAATGTGTTATGGCAGATTTCATCTTCAGTATATTCAGTTTTAGAAATGAATGTCTTTCCACAGATATTAATCTAGAATCTGCTGTAACTATCTCCCATAGGTAAATATCCAGAAAGCACTTATGACGATATGAGAATAGAATATGTGAGGTATTTCTCTTTCACAGACACATCTTCACTCTCATTACATTACCAGTACTACCTGAAACAAATGCGGTACCCTCTGACAGGCTGTTATTGCCATCATCTCTTCAATCCTGCCACCATGGACTGTCTATGCAGGTTTTCACTACACTTTTGTCTCCAAAGTGTACTCTTTATCAACTCAAGGTTACAAGACGTGGCTGAAAAGCTCTCAGTATACACTCTCTGCAATTCCCCGTTGCATAATTACGCTGCCACACACCGTATCTGAACAATTCCCAGTGTTTTAGAACGTGGAGTACCCGATCATCCATTTTTACTGCAGGTTTACTTGATTGCTCGGAGGCTGAAGTGGCTATTTTAACATTTTAGGTCACTCCGCCCCTAAAGGAAGGAGCAGAGATGTGGCATTACCGTCCCTGTCGAGGTAGACCGCTGCACAGTCTGCTCAGTGTTGTGATCCGCAAGGCCCGTGTCCTCGCATAACACGAAGTGAATGGAGCGGGAAGTAGGCCAAGATGAGACCAATTTCTTATTTTGCTTTCATTCAGCAGGTCTTCATTGTGATGAAGCAGTGGGTAACAGCAGCAGACAATGCGCTCATCATCACCATATGAATAAAGCGCTGTCTTTCCCGACTTCACCGCCGCTGGCCCGTTTATCTCCTTACAACAGCTCTTCCTCTCTTGTCTGTCCTGTGCCATGATAACACTATCTGTTGAATGGCTACATATCCAGGTATCAAAGCAGCACCCAACCTGTGTTTAACACGGCTACATAAAGGCTTATGTCACCATCCTCAGAATAACAGAATGGAGTTGGATTGGATTTTACACCCACACAGACATAAAAGCACAAAAAAAACTTCATTTATGTGCAAAAATTAATCCCACTAAGTACTTACAAATGGACTCTTTTCTACAGCACATTTATTATTTGGCATTTGCTGCTCGGCCATTGTAAATGATACCAGGCAGTCTGAAATAACAGTGCCCAATGTTTATACAAGTGATAAGGGTTTTTATTGCAGTATTTGACTTGTCCCCAGTCCCCCACTGGCTGTTGGTTACTGGCAGCGGGGAAGAAAAGCACTTTAACAGGATTTCTTATCACATTTCAGGCAAACAGGAGAGATTTTTATTTCTTTATAGACAAATGTTTTCCAGTTGCGGGTTTGCTGCTCTACTTTGGTTTATACTGTAGCATTTTGACAAATGCACACGTTCTCCTTCTTCCTGAGATGAAATGAGAAGATCTGTGTAAGTACTGCGCTGTTGTCAGGACCAGGTTAGCCTAGCTTAGCATGAAGACTTTAGGCAAACCTGGCTCTGTCCAAAGCTCACTAATGAAGGTGTATCTCTTTTGTTTAATCCATACATCAACCAGAAGAAAGACAAGTTATATTTACAGTGGGAGTTACGCAGCATAACTGTTTCTTGATGAACAGCTGTGTATCCATCCGCCAAGCACTTTTCTGTTGTTGTTGCCTCTGGATACTGTGTTGTTTTCCAGATATGGTCAGTGAGCACAGGTTTCGGTCTGTGTACAGCCTTGATGGTATCAAACCTGACAACCTCGCCGTGAAGACAAGACTCTAGGAAGCTGTACACTGTCACTGCACCTGGCTGTTGTTTGCCAAGAAATAGTTCCAGTCTGCAACTCTGTAAAATGACAAATCGCGTTTTTTAGTTTTCTCTTCATGTACAGATTAAAGGGACAGTTCAGCCCAAAATCAAAAACATAGATTTTTCTTAGCTGTGGTGCTGTTTATCCATC